AGCATTTGACTATTAAAAAAAAGTCATCTGATGTGGCGGCAGGATGTAGCTCAGTGGTAGAATGCATGCCTAGCATGAAGAAGGTCCTGGGTTCAGTCCCTAGTACCTCCATTAAAAATAAATCAATCAATAAAGCTAATTACCCCCCACAACAAAAGAGTCATCTGATGCAAATTCACCAGTATAAAAATTAGAATATTTTGCAAAATCTGAAACACGACTGTCTTCTCTTAGAACTCTGCGAGCTGACTGAGAACGGGACATGAACAGGAAATGGATCACAGGTAGTCTGAATGTCACCTGTCAGTCCCTACTGCTCCGAAAGAAAGCCAGTCTCAAGTTTCGCTGCTTTTCTTTCTTATCCTTAAGAGCCGACAGGACACAGAACACAGGTGGGAACAGCCTGCAGGCAGAACACTCCAGATTGGACAGGTAGGCAGAAGCCGCCTCCTGTCCAAACCTGCTGGGCGTGAGACTGACGACGCAGCCCCACCACCACGGAAAGGGGCAGACACATAACTTTAACACAACAAGAACACGTTTTCCAGCCTTCCCGGAAACTAGGGACTATCCGCTTACGGCAATAACCTCTGAAGTCACTTCTGACTCCTTGAGGGGTTTTTCTTCTCACTCAGGTTGTAACAGTTTAGGATTCACCCCAGTGCTCTATTACTATCCGTACAATGTTTTTATGGGGGAAGGTTTGCTTCTGAAACCTGCCTAAACTTCTAAAACCCCTTTTCATTTGCTGACGCACTAAGCTTTAAAATAAAGAATAGGTTCTAAAAACCAAATTTCTTCTGTGTAGCATAGGGAACGATATTCAGTATCTTGTCATAACCTTTAATGAAAAAGAACATGAAAACGAATATATGTATGTATATGCATGACTGGGACATGATGCTGAACACCAGAAATTGACACGTTGTAACTGACTATACTTCAATTAATTTTTTAAAATAAATAAATAGAAACAAAAAAATAAAAATAAAGGATAGGTTCTGACTTTAAGAACGTCATCAATCAACAGCGTGTCTGGCACTGACACACGGAGACGTCTGCCATAAAACTGTGTATCCTTTCAACCTTCTCCCACGATTTATTTCTCACCAGGGCCGACACCAAACGGTCAGTTACTTAATCTGAGGCTAGAGCTGGAGGAAATACTGTACTCACCATGTGGGCATTAAGCTGCTCCCTGGCTGTTTCCGGTAAACCTCCCAGAGGCTTGGAGGCTAAGAGATGCCTCTCCGTGTCCGTCAGCCACTGCTGCAAGTCCTCGATCTCGCCGTGGAACCCTTTGGCCTGGAGTGAGAGAGAGAGGGAGCTTCAAGTGTGGGCCCCAAACACTGTCATTTTCAAGCAGAAAAGGCGGCCAACCCAATCCCCGCCTGCTAAGCCCCTCGGCGCGTTCTCAGCGACGGCAGGGGCTGCTGGACGCCTGCCTTTCAGCCTCAGGAGAGCCAGCGATAAGGCTCTCGGGCTAAGAACAGGCGGGCTCATTGTCATCGGCTCTGTTCTCTACCCCCCTCATTTTCACTCCCCGCTCTGGGGCGTACACAATTAACCAGGGGTCTGTCAGCCTGAACAGGGATGCCATGCCGTCCTGGCCTTGAAGGCTAAGGCAGTTTCCAACTTGATGGCTTTTTTTCACCTGGCGCAAGGCACCATCCAGCTGCTGCTTCCTCTGTTCTGTCTTTTCCAAAACATTTTGCCAGCGCTGATTTAGAACCTCCAGCTTGTTCTGAAGGTTGCTCGCTTCTTCCCCTGCACTTGATTCAATTAAGTCATTTCCTGCTTTATTAACGGCTTCCACTGTGGACTGATGGGCCAATACGTCATTTTGGAGCACCTGAAGATATTAAGATAACACAATGTTTTACCAACGTTTACCAATGTTTACAAACTGTTCACCAATGTCGGTTGGTAACACATTAACATCCCTTCTAACACAATTGTCTTGTTTCCTGGTTATGAAACATTCTGAAACAGAAATATCCTATACATAGAATCTTAATACTAATAAACTTTTTAAATGAGGGGCTTCTTTTCCTTAACTTTACAGCTTTATTGGATATACCTTCAGTCTACCCACATCCCCTCAAATGATTATGTTGAGAACATTGCCAGTTCTTCCCATCAGGAAAGCTTTACAATGGATGACATTAAGGATCTAGAGATTATAATTAAAAGGTTCTAAAAGTATTCACTGGGTTCAAGCTCACTGAATTTTCACGTCATGAGTAAACAATTTGAAAGATACTTATGTCTATATATTCAAATGTAAAATGGATACATTGCCGTGCTTTGTAATCAGCAACTCTAAAAAGGAAACGGATTATCACAGTGTTCTTTTATCATCTCTGGATTTAAGGGTGTCAGAATCAACTGCTAAGTCGGCAGACATCCCAGGCAGCCCTAACACTAGAGGGAAAGGCATTTCACCACACAGCAGGGATGTCCAGGTCCAGCGCCCGGGACTTAGCTGTTGTCTTACTAGAAAGTACGCACATGAAACACCTATGACAGATCCCAGTAAACGACGCCTTCCTATTCTATTACCCAGTGGAAACAGAAGAAGAGATGAATAATGATCCAGCAATCCCATTCCTGAGCATACATCCAGAGGGAACTCTAATTCAAAAAGATACATGCACCCCAATGTTCATAGCAGCACTATTTACAATAGCCAAGACATGGAAGCAATCTAAGTGTCCACTGACAGATGACTGGCTAAAGAAGTTGTGATATATTTATACAGTGGAATACTACTCAGCCATTAAAAAGAATAAAGTAATGCCATTTGCGGCAACATGGATGGACCTGCAGATCGTCAGCCTAAGTGAAGTAAGCCAGAAAGAGAAAGAAAAATACCGTATGATATCAGTCATATGTGGAATCTAAAAAGAGAAAAAAAGAGGAAACTAATGAACTCATCTGCGAAACAGAAACAGACTTGCAGACATAGCCAACAATCTTTTGGTTACCGGGGGAAAGGGAGTGGGAAGGGATAAATTTGGGAGTTTGAGATTTGCAAATGTTAACCACTATATATAAACATAGTTTAAAAAAAATCAAATTTCTTCTGCATAACACAGGAAACTATATTCAATATCTTATAATAATCTTTAATGAAAAAGAATAGGAAAATGAATACATGTATGTATATGCATGACTGAGACGTGATGCTGTGCACCAGAGACTGACACACTGTAACTGATTATACTTCAATAAAAAAGAAGAAGAGATGAATAACACTTAAATGCAGCAGCACGGGGCTGGAGTGGAAAGTGCGGAGAGCAACCTCAAGGCTGAAATCAGTTTCCTGTACCAAGAAGAACGACACTTCAAAGAACAAACAGAGCTTAGTAATCGCTTCCTTTCAAGAAGACTGTGTTATGCTTTTGCACACCAGAAGAAACCCTCCTCTGACGTGAATAGAAGTCAATGCTGACCCTGCTCTGCACTCCCAGACTTGGGCTGGCAACGGGAAAGAAGAGAAGCATCGCCTGCCGCCCTGTGAAGGATGACATCCCACGTCGGGGACACCCAGACCAGGAGGACTTCAGCCAGGAGTCCGGACCAGCTGCGATCGCTGGTTCTCGGCTACACTCACTCACGTTCCGGGGCACCTGGTGAGGCAGTTTTTCAAAGGCTCTAACATCAACCTGAGTAAGGAGCCATCCTTCTAAAAAGCATGCACTTTGATATGTTAACGGTAGGAACCGCTTTCAAAAGGTAAGAGTTAAAATCCTCGTGGTCAAAACATGAAAGGGTCATTCTGCAACATTCATGCCTCTAAATGGTCGGAGCCCCGCTGCACAAGCCACGGCCTGGGAGCCAGAGAAGAAGGCAGGACAGGGGTGAGAAGGCCCATCCCTTCCTCCGCAGCTGTGCCGGCAACTCTGGGGCCTTTAATGTTGACTTTGGAAATGGAAGGAGGGGAGGGGGCATTCCTAACTGCTCAAAGACAGACACACAGAAACTAAAGGCCCCTAACTCAACCCCACCAAGATACCCGGACCACCTGCTCATTTCCCACCTCTACCGTATCCTGCACAGCTCCTGTCCCCGATGTATGTGACTTTAAGGACAACTAAGGACAGCTAAGTCGATGAAAATGTAAATGCCGTAAACTCAACAGTGTGAGAATGAAGGTTCTGTTCATGTGCAGAGTCAGTCTGACTGGTCATTACTGCTCTGAGCAAAGGTGTGATACAGACATTCAAGAAAGATAAATGTTAGTGATCCGAAACAAGCCCTAATAGTTAAGCAGACAAGGTTGGGCAAGGACTAGACAGAATGAGGTTAAAAAAAAAGGAAGAAGAATTTAAATTAGGGACCAATTACTGTCGGAAAAGTACGAAAGAAAGAGAACTAAAGAATAGTCAAAAACTGTAGGTCATGCTCTTAAAGTGCAAAAAACCCTTTGTTTTAAAACAAAGAAACAGTAAACAGTAAAATAATCAAATTTTTCTATTTGATAATCGAGGAAAATTTATTTAAGATTAGAATTAGGGACTTAACTTTAAATAAGATTCCCCTATAATGTGAATGTTGAAAATTCTATGAAAGACTGTTGAATGTCAGGATAAACTCTACTGGGCATAACCTTTATTCCTCAAGCCTGGTGACTTCACAGAGGGGGAGTTTTCCACCAAGAATTGTCAACCAAGTGCCCCGAAGATGGCAACAATATATAACTGTTTTGCATGTGTCTCAAGATAAAAATTTTCAACTTATAAGCCTTAAGTCAAGCACAGGACATGTGAAAATTCTTCTAAACCTAGTATTTTTTGAAGCTAATTCAGAAAGGAAAGGACTAAGATACAAAAAGCCAATGAAAAGTAAAAGAAAGGAGGAAACAGGATAAACTCCAACACAATAAGAGATGTACAGACAGACAGAAATATGTAAGAGAAGCCAAAAAGCAGGCAGTGATGGAGGGGAGGGTGACCCGAGGAAACACACATCCTGCAGTGGAACTGTGACCTGGTCACCCCACAGCTTTTAAAACTACGCCACCTCAATCCAAGGACAGGTAGAACCAGGGATTTAAACCTCCAGCGTTGGGCATGCAATCCTCATAGAAACTGAGCCAGAAATTTGCCATTCTTGCCTTGACCAAAAAGATAAACACTGATTATAACCTTTTTAAGGAGGCGTGTTTTAGATAGCTCAACCTTCAGTTAGTTGCCAATGTCCAAAGTGAACTAGTGTTAAAATCATAAACGCACACAAAAGGGAGACGGACCAAACACACCCGGTGATGCTGTGAATGCAGGGAGTTTGCAGTAACAGCTACGTACGTGATGCTTGGCGAGCTCAATCTCGATGGCCTTGGGGTCTCCCCCGACGGGCTTCTGTTCGCTGAGCAGGCCCTCGGTGTGCGTCAGCCAGGCCAGCAGCTCGTCCAGAGCGTGCTGGAATTGCCCCAGTGCTAGCAGAGCGCCCTCCAGCTTGTGCTGCAGGAAGAGCGACAGGAAGGGAATCAATCGCCACGTTCGAGATCATGGATGACACACGTTTATAAAACAAGAGCAAAAAGTCAATGGCGTCACGCTGCATCAGCCTGTAAGCAAATCCAAGGAAGCTCAATCATCATATCCTTCTACATTTTAAGTCTTAAATGCTTTCGGGTTAAAAAAAAAATGGCAGGAAAAACAGGAAAAGGTCTAATGAAATAAGAGAATCTAGGGGCTTCGGAAGTTGATCTACAGGATCACCCAGTCTTACTTTTTAATAGTTATTTGACATTCATCAATGAAGCTGAAGCATGATGATGCCCTCACAAAGGCCTTGGCAGTTACCTGTCTGTTGATGATCCTCTCGCCCAGACTGTCCCATATCAACTTCAGCTCCATCAGTGGGTCCTGAACAGTGTGCTTGTCACTCTCCTCCGTTACTTTCTTCAGCAGAAGCTCGGCCTGATGGTTCAGCCTCTCCATCTCTATCTGTTGTTGGTAAGCCTCTGACTTAAATTGCTATTTTTTAGAAAAGAGATACACAAGGAAAACTTGTCATACGTCAGGAACTTGTAAACAAACAAAAATTCTAGGGGCTAGGTCTTGATTCTAATTCACACTTCTTAGTGGGGTGGGGTGAAGGGGAATAAAAATCTAACAGAGTTTAGTGATGAAAACATTATAGATGAAAAATGATCAAAGAAATCTTTTATTTTTATGCAACATTTTCACATGGAAAGATGTTTTTCTTTATAATTCTGATATCTCACTTTTGTTCTCTACAATAAAAAAATTAATACATTTTGGGGATTAGCACTATATATAACACTGCTATATATAAAATAGATAAACAACAAGGTCCTACTGGGTAGCATAGGGAGCTACATTCAATAGCTTGTAATAATCTATAATAAAAAAGAATATACATATATATACATATATATATAAATAAAACTGACTCCCTAAGCTGTACACCAGAAACTAACACAACATTGTAAATCAACTACACTCCAATAAAAAATAACAAATTTCAGGGCTTAAGTTATTCTAATGTCTAATTATATACAGCCAGTGAGTTTTTAAATTATAGGAAAGAAGAAAACAAAATATATCTTGACATATATGAAACTCAGAAAAAATAAATCTCAAAGAAACTCAGTATCTCCTGCTCAAAACACACACACATCTTGCACCCATTGAACTTTATGTGTTTTCTGCAGCTATGCTGTTGTTTATTAATATCTATTTATCCCTTGCTTCACCCACTGCTGGCTCGGAATAACAATACTCTCTCTCCTGGTGCTCACTGACATATATTTAATCATCTTGGCTTTGCCAACAAACACAGGTTAGCCAATGGTTGCTTGTAATGGGAAACTGTCCTTTCATAAAGTATTCATTTTATTCTGGAATACTAAATTATTAAATAGTGAATAATTAATGGCTAAGCAGTCCCTTAATTTATTCAAGCAAATTAAAATAATTCAAAACTAATAATAAAGATATAGTGAACACTTGCTGTATTCAAGCTGTTCTTAACAAACTTGTAAAGAAAATAATCTTACTCCCAAACAATCTAAGGACACAGAGGTGAGAACGGTTAGGTAACTGCTCCGGATGAAGGAGGATGCCATCTGAGACACCTGGTTTCAGGGCAAGGACCCCAACCAGTCTGCGATATGCAAACCACTGAGATATTTGCAAACCCTTACATAATCTCTCCCCCCAACCTGTAACTCCCCCGCACCTGTAACCATACATAAGGGATATCAAGTGTTTACTTCATAAGCAGCCAGAGTTAAAAAAAAAACAACAACAACAAAATACAGTCTAATAATTGTAACAGTAAAGTTCTCAAAAAGAAACATCTTTTCCTAACGAGATATTCTACAAGTACACTTAGAGATGAAAATGCTACAATTTTAAAGCCAGAGAGTAATTTTAAGTAGAAATCTAGCAGAGTTCCTTGAAAGGGGTGTGATGTCTCTGAGACTTAAAATCAGGGAGGAAGTAGCTGATCCCACTTTGATAAGCGATTATCAGCACAGAGGAACTCAAAGGAAAAAGTCCAGCCTTTTTCACAGCTGGACATCAGGAACCACAAAAGAAAGAAAAATGACAGAGGAAAGCAGACAAACATTTACAAAACAAACGCTCTGGGAAACACTATTACCCCATCCACCCACGGGACCCTTCTTTTAGCCTGTTAAACGAACTGAATTACTCTGAACATAAGGAAGAAAATGCAAATATCGCTGTATACGCATCAGCAACATAATACACTACTGAATAATAAAGTTATAAAAATCCTCACAGTATGATCTACTTATGTAAAACACACACACACACACACACACACACACACACACACACACACACAACCATGCCTCACCCTACCCGCAACCTGAGGGTATCTGAAAGGCTATAAATCACATCTCAAGAGTGGTTGCCTCTGGGTACACAACATTTTGGGTGGCTTTTAAAAAGTCACCTTTTTGCTTCTTTGCATTTTCTGATTTTTCCATAACGAACAGGCGCTAATTTAGTAAGAAAATCTACTAGCATTTTACACCCTTTATTCAATGAGCACTTACACACTGCTCACTACGTGCAGGCACTGCGTGAAACCAGTTTCATAATCAAAATGCGAAACTTCAAGTATGGAGAGTAAATTAAGTTTGCGGAAAGCAGCCGGTGAATCAAGAACTTAAAAACGCAAAGTCTCTGATGAAGTTCTCGGCGCCTCCCCCTACCTTGAGCTCTTCGATCTGCTGCTTGACAGTTTCAAGGTCCGTCCCGATGGGAGACATGGAAGCCAGTTTACCACCTGCAATATCTACCCAGTCGAATATTGCCTGAAACACACAGTAGTTCATGTCAGTATCACAGCACATCCGAAAGGACTGCACCATCTCAAGTGTGATGGAAAATAGAATCATTAAGTCTATAAAGATGCTATCCCACGCGCCTGTTGTACAAATAAAGGCAGCAATATATGGAAAGTTATCTCAAACGTGAGACACGTGAAGCCTCCAATTTTGCACCCAAATTTGCGAAAGAAATTCTATCTTAAATGGAATCTTAGAATATTGAGAACTTTTCAGTCCATTTGAGAAAAACTTTAATCAAGTCATGCCATGAAATAAAATTCTCTACACTCTCTTATGTCTGTCTGAAAGGCAGATTGTGTCAATACAGTGAAAGAAAAAGCCTCAAATCCATGTGTTTATTCAAATAATCAAGAAGTTTATTGTTTGGCACTTGAGGAAACCATTTGTCTCACATAAACCTTTACGCATTATTTAGATTAGCATTAAAATCCTGCACATAGAAAGATTAGGACCATAAGTCTGAATTGCAACAAAATCTCCTATTTTCCTAGTTCTTTTTCAGTGATATAAACATTCTAAAAAAGACTCCACTCACATTCTTTTCCAGGTTGAAGACACAAAATTATTTTGTAATTTAATGAAGTTGCCGGCCCATATAGGAAAGAAAAAAAAAAAACCTTGGCAAATATCTGGTATTTTCAAGTTATCAGTAATGAACCTCAGTACTTAAGCAACAACTTGGAAAATAAAATGTATTTGACTTTACAATCAAACCTGGAAGACTCTGGAGGGTCTGCAAGCTTTCAACATCCAGCTGCAGCCCTTCAAATGATCACGGTCCTTTGTCCCCACAGGTGATGTAGCTAACCCACCGACCAGCAGGACCTGCGGGAGGACCTTGTTTTCTAGTAGTGGGGATGAGACAAACCACAGTGTCCGGCTGTGACCTCCTGAGGGCTAGTGGCCCCTGAGATTTCGGAGGCTGCAGGAGGTGGCAGTGCCATCTTCAACCATGCGACAGACACAGCCCCAGTGACTCGCCAAACATATGTGAAAATCACCATCTGGCCCCACAGACAGAGCTGGAACCTGGCTGATTACAGGCCATTGATAACATAACCAATAAATAATCACTTTGCTTAAAAGCAGGAGGGAGGGCAAGGTTATAACAAGGTGTTACCTGTAGTGAATTTTTTTTTAATGTATTTCCAGAGTTCAAAACACTTTGCAGCTGGGCATGAAGCCGGACCCATGATATTTATTTTTACAAATATAGAAATGAAGTAGCCTCATAAAAAGGAAAAGATGTTCTCATCTGAGCTTTAAAAATAATATTCTCTTGGTGTTATGGAAATACTTAGGACTTTTTCCATATGGTGGTTGGATCAACGATTAAACTCCTGCCAGCCGGTTAGGAAATGGGACAACGTTAAGGAAGGTGGGGAAGAAATATCACTGTGTTGGCCTCGCCTGACAGGAGAATTTTTAATATAAAAAGAAAAAAAGAAACTTCAAGACTGGTTAATGAACTGACCGAGAACCCTTAAGGGATGTGGAAAACAACTATTAAAAGGAATTATATATATGGGGAAGAAGAGTACACTTTTTTACACAACACAACGTGACATAATAAAATAGATGTCTATTTGAATTCATGGGGACTGCTGGCTTCAAATCCAATTTCTTTACTTCTGACTTGAGCCCAGCTTGGTGGTATTTTTAGACAGTGTTTACACCTTTCATCTTAATCCACTCAACTTCAGAGCAGAACTCAGACTCAGCTCCACTCCACTGTCTGGTGTCAAGCCGTTTAGGAAAAATACCGGGTGGGTATATTGACTTTCACTTTAAAAAAAAAAATTAGAATATTGCTTCTCAAAGTAAATCTCACAGAATGTGTGTGTGAAAATGTTCCGAGGTGTGTGTATAAATCTGTACTCATCACAAGGGTCAGAAACAGCTTCTAAAAGGCAAGAGAGGGAATGAAGCAGGTGAGGCAACAGCATCACACCTACAGCTCTGGGGCGACCCCAGCACACGACTCTGTGAGCATCACTTAACGTGACCCCTGCCCCACTCCCGGCGGACACTGCGACCCGTACCTGCAGTCCATCCTGGTACTGAACGGCAGCCTGCATCGCCTCCTCCAGTCTGTCCACCCGGTCTTTCCAAGCTTTATTTAGAGAATCCCACGCTGAATTTAACTACGATATAAATATTACAACTCTTTCAGTGTGCTGTGTTAAGTGTTCAACCACTTCTATTAAATATGCTTTAGAGAACAAAATGCTTAAAAAAAAAAAAGCCATTCTGACAAGAGTAGAAAGTACGGGAGCTGTACCTCATCTATGCTCTTCTTGACGATGGGTTTGTCGGGCTCCCCACACGCGGCGATGAGTTCAGAACCCAGGTTAACGACCATGTCCAGCTCTTCCTGCAGTCCATCAATCTCCTCTCTTATGACCTGGAATAAGAAATGGCAGCCTTAAAAAGGGAAACCCTCCTACACTTGTTGGTGGGAATGCAAATTGGTGCAGCCACTGTGGAGGACAGTATGGAGGTTCCTTAAAAAACTAAAAATAGACTTATCCTATGGTCCAGCAATCCCACTCCTGGGCATATATCCAGAGAAAATGTAATTCAAAGAGACACATGCACCCTAGTGTTCACAGCAGCACTATTTACAATGGCCAAGACAGGGAAGCACCCCAAATGTCTATCAAGAGATGACTGGATAAAGATGTGGCATGCGCGTGCGCACACGCAAATGGAATACTACTCAGCCATAAAAAAGAACAAAGTAATGCCATTTGCAGCAACATCGATGGACCTGGAGATTGTCATTCTAAGTGAAGTCAGCCAGAAAGAGGAAGAAAAATACTATATGAGATCGCTCATATGTGGAATCTAAAAAGAAAGGACACAAATGAACTTATCTACAAAACAGAAACAGACTCACAGACATAGAGAACAAATTCATGGTTACCAGGGGTTAAAGGGGGTGGGAAGGGATAAATTGGGAATTCGAAAATTGCACCTCTTGGGGAGTGATAGAAATGTGAGCTATTTTGATTGTGGTGGTGGTTTCACGGGTGTAGACATCTATCAAAATTCATCAAAGTGTACATCTGAAATGTGTAGTTTACTGTACAGGAACCAGATCACAACAAAGGTGTTAAAAGAAAGAAATGGTAGCCTTAGTTTTGAGCAAAACCACAGTGAAACTAAAAAGATGCCCACAGACATTAATGGTAGTTACTTCTAGGAGGTGCGATTGTAATCAATTTTTATTTTCTTCTTTCTGTTCCTTAACTTTCTGCACTAAATTTTTCACCAAGAAAAAGAGAAGAACTACTTTAAAGAAAAAACTGTCCTTTGAGTAACAAATGTCAACTGTTTACTATAAAGACAATATTTAGGAAATAATTCCACATAACAAATACCAGAGTAAGTTTCTTAAAAAATACTGAAAAGCATGGAGACATTTTGTGTTTGTTTCTCAAACCAATGAGTTTGGCAATTCACTCTTAAAACAGATGTAATTATCACATGAGTTCAAAGACTTCATGCAAATTACTGTATCTTCTTAGTAGATTTAGGATAGCCTACCTCTGTATTTTCACTTTTAACCTGGCACAGGTAAACTACCAAAAACAAAACAAAAAAACTACGACAGAAATGCAGTCTTCTCCCTTTGCTTTCATCTTCTTTGTTAAATATATTTATTCGAGATGCACTTATTTACCAAGTATGAACCACGCCCTCGAGCAGGGATTGGAGATGCAGAGAAAATGAGATCTGACTGTCCCACTCAAGGGGCCCTGACAGAGCATGGTGGATCGACCACAAGTCCTACTCTGTATACAGTCCTTCATGTGATGAGAATGTTATGGGGACAAAC